ACACTACTGGGATCTAGGGGTTTACAACGGTGCTGGTGTCACTGGGTCATGGCAAGACACCACCCCAACCTGCAAACGTGGGCCTGTCACCCTGGCGTGGAACGGGAGGGAACCAACGAGCGAGGGGAATTTAGAAGCAAATCTACCGTAACTAGGGAACAGCCAACACTGGCAGCTGAAGGCCGGTCCAATGTTATTATCTGCTTCCGAGAGGAAAACTGAAATGTGGATCACATCTGTGGGCTTTGGCGTTAGGCAGAGTTGGGTCTCGGTCTCAGCCCTGCTACTATTCTTCCCCGGGGGATCTCCCCATCTACCAAATGAAGATTGTTAACATCCGCCCGAAAGGCCTGCTGGGTACGTGAAGGGGATGATGTCTGGCTGTGTGACTTTGGGTGAGTCCTTTCTCCCTTCCACGTTCGCACCTTCACGCCTACAAATCGAGAGGCCTGGGCCAGATGATCACACCTTTGGATTTACAGTGTTGTAAGCAAGCCTGGAGGACGAGATCTGTACGTCCAGCTCTCTCTGCTCCCTTGTAGAAGTTGCGAGTTGATCCAATAAATGTCAACCTCCGCTTCCTGGCTGATCTCCGGCTGGGTAATTACATTCTGGCTCCCTCAGTTCCCCTACACGTCAGCAGGACGAGTGGTAAAGTAAGGGTGCTAGAGTTTTGGAGGCAGATGTCCAGGGTCCCTGGTGTGACTTGCTGCAAAAACACAGCGGAGGACTGGCTTGTGGGATGCAGGTATGTGTGAAGGTCATGGTAATGACAGAGGAGTGTACATTTCTCCTAGATTCCAACCAACGGAATCGTGAATATCGTTATCTTGTATTAGCCTTTGTGATAAGGTATCTACACTTCATAGAGCTGTTGGTACGAGTCAGGTAGATGCTGTCTGTGCAGCACTTCGTGAGGATATACAATTAATATTGTTTACTTGGTAACCACTTATAAAGCTCTAAGTGGCAAACGCCATTCTAAGTCCTTTATAAATGTTAACTTATTTGATCATCGTGAAAACAGAAACATTGTTGTCCCTTTTTAACAAATTTTTTAATGTTTTTATTTTGGAGAGAGAGAGAGAAAGCATGAGCGGGGGAGGGCAGAGAGAGACACACACACAATCTGAAGCAGGCTCCAGGGTCTGAGCCGTCAGCGCAGAGCCTGACGCGGGGCTCAAACTCACAAACTGTGAGATCGTGACCCGAGCCAAAGTCAGATGCTTAACCGACTGAACCACCCAGGTGCCCCTGCTGTCTCCTTTTAATAGAAGTGAGGCACAGAGACGTTAGGTAACTCACCTAGGGTCACACATCCGGCATGTAGCAGGGCTAGGATTTAACTTAGCCAACGTGGTTCGGGAATCTGTGCTCCTAACCACTACACCAAGCCGCCTCTCTCAATATTACCAGTGATATTCTGCAAAGCAATCTACAGTCACTTTAGTATGGATTAGTCTTCTCAATATCCCGAGAAGACCCATTTTGCAGAGCAACTAGGTCAAGGTAGCAGAGGAAGTCACAACTGACCGAGAAGCCAGTTAGTCCCCCAGCACCAAGGGCAGCGCTAGGATGAGCAAATGCAGACCTCGGGCTGCAAATGTGCGCACGCCTCTGAAACCGCACGGACCTGTAACTTCTGAGGCTCTGACCGGCTGCCCCCCTCCGCCTGGCAACTGGGGTTTGACCTGTGCCACTGGCTTGATTGCCCAGAGGAAACACTTTACAGAGGCAGGATTTCATTCCACACCGTCTCGTATTTCCTCTCTTCCCAGCCCACCATAGGGCACAGCAGGTGCTCACCAACCCTTCCTGAGCTCACGATTCACGCTTTTCTCAACTGCCCTGCCGCAGCGTGGATCTCCAATCAAATAGTCCCTGCAGCAGGAACACAAGGGGCTTCTAAAAACCCGACTCCTTGCCGCGGATTTTCCCTCAGTGCTCTGACGGGCCTGGCACCCCCTCCACGAGTTAAATGATGGGTATTTTACTTCATCCCTACTCTCCCTTTTTTAGCCAAAACCAGCTTTTTCCTTTTTCTCCCAAACCGAAGAAGAAATGAGGAAACTGGGGGCACTGATGTCTGCACACAATTTGGAAAACCTTTTTTTTTTTTTTAAATTTTTTTTTTTTCTTTTTTCAACGTTTTTATTTATTTTTGGGACAGAGAGAGACAGAGCATGAACGGGGGACGGGCAGAGAGAGAGGGAGACACAGAATCGGAAACAGGCTCCAGGCTCTGAGCCATCAGCCCAGAGCCCGACGCGGGGCTCGAACTCACAGACCGCGAGATCGTGACCTGGCTGAAGTCGGACGCTTAACCGACTGCGCCACCCAGGCGCCCCTGGAAAACCTTTTAAGGGGAAAATAAAAGCACAGAATCTGGAAAACCCACGAATCTGTATCTTAGCAAGTTATTATAAGGCAAGCACCTTTTTAATGAAAGGCCAGTCACCAGAAGTCACCCTTCATGTGCTCCGACCCAATCAGTTTCATTCCCCTCCGCCCCAAGTAACCGCTATTCCTTATCGTAATCACTTCCTGTGTCTTAAAAATAACCTCTCGCCTACCCACGCACGTCCACCTGCTACGGTTTAGTCTTGTTCATTTTACCAAAATGACATGTCTTTTCGGTTTCTTTTAACCTTCAGGTCGTCGCCCCACCTCTTTCTTTTCCTTACAATTTACCCATCAGAGAACCCAGGGCACTCCCCCTGGCGAGTCTCTGCAGCTGGGGTTTGGCTGACTACACCCACGGGGCAGTTCGGCACGTCTGCATCCTATTTTCTACCGTGGCGTGGACGTCCAGTACCTACCTCTCGGCCAGCTGATTTGGGGAGAGGTCCTACGCTCTTTCTGAAAGAACACGTGGCATCGGGAGTAGTGAGATGAAGTGAAAACCAACCGACGATCCCGTCACCGGTGCAGGAGCAGGAGTCTGGCCTGCCTCTCGGGCAGTGACTTCACCTATCTGCGGTTAGCCGCATCTTTCTTGCACAGGCACAAATGGTGCCCTGGATGGAAGACTGCTTTGGAAACTGCAGGATGCAGCCCCTTCCAACAGGCGCCTTTTAAAAGGAGTCGCTCCTCTGACGTTCTTTGAATGTCGGCATTGGCTTCGACTTGTCACGATGTGTGTGTGGAGTTCAGCATGAGATGGATCAACTGCAGTCCAACCAACTGCGTGTGAGTTACCGGAGCACTAAGTGCACGAGAGTTCCTGGAGTACTAAGTGCAGGAGAGTTACTGGGGTACTAAGTATGTGAGAGTTACTACATGAGTTCCTGGAGTACTAAGTGCGTGAGACTTACCACGTGAGTTACCGGAGTATTAAGTGTGTGAGAGTTACCATGTGAGTTCCTGGAGTACTAAGTGCACAAGAGTTCCTGGAGTACTAAGTGCAAGAGAGTTACTGGGGTACTAAGTGTGTGAGAGTTACCACGTGAGTTACTGGAGTACTAAGTGAGTGAGAATCACCACGTGAGTTACTAGAGTACTAGATGCACAAGAGTTCCTGGAGTACTAAGTGCAAGAGAGTTACTGGGGTACTAAGTGCGTGAGAGCTACCACGTGAGTTCCTAGAGTACTAAGTGCGTGAGAGTTACCATGTGAGTTACTAGAGTACTAGGTGCACAAGAGTTCCTGGACTACTAAGTGCAAGAGAGTTACTGGGGTACTAAGTGCATGAGTTACTACACGAGTTCCTGGAGTGCTAAGTGCGTGAGAGTTATCACATGAGTTCCTGGAGTACTAAGTGCAAGAGAGTTACTGGGGTACTACGTGCGTGCGAGTTACCACACGAGTTCCTGGAGTACTAAGTGTGTGAGAGTTACCACGTGAGTTACCAGAGCACTAAGTGCGTGAGAGTTGCCACATGAGAGTCCCTGGAGTACTAAGTGCATGCAAATTATTGCATGAGTTACTGGACTACTAAGTGTATGAGTTACCACGAGTTACTGGCGTACTAAGTATTTGAGAGCTAACCTGTGAGTTATCAGAGTACTAAGTGCATGCGAGTTACTGGAGTATTAAGTGTGTGAGAGGTACCATGTGAGTTACCAAAGCACTAGGAAGTACTTGCTATTGGATTTGTATGAGCTCTACAACAAGGTCTTTAAAGGTGGTGGGTATTGTGACACAAAATTTTCAACTGTTTAGATATTTCTTTCACAGAACGTACATTTCATGAAAGCCACGGAGACTGAGGCAAAGCCGGATATTGATTTAGCAACTGCGTTTCTGAACAACTTGGGAGATTTAGTCGCACTGTTCTCAAGATCGTCCAGGCTGGAAAACAAATTTCCCTATGGTTCTTGGATTTTTTAACTACCCGGGAGAGGAAGCAGAGTGTAGCTTTAGGTCTTGAGATACTGAGCAACTCCTCCCCGCAAGCCCAGTCCTCTGTGCAACACAAAGTTTCTTCCGTGAGCCCTTTTCTGGATTTGCTCGGTAAATATTAACATCAATCCAGGTTTAACCTGAGGATGTGTGTGGGATGCATTTCTATCTCTGTGTTTACGTTGCTACACTTACAAAGTGTTCTGCTGGTTCTCCCTATTGGGTCAGAGGCCACTTGGGATCATGATTACAGGATATATAAACAGATCCTCGTTTGTTTCAGCAGCATTAGAGCGATTTCTGAGCTGCTGACAAGTTGGAGAAATCGACCGACCTTAGATGTAATAAATAGCATTGATCTGGGTGCAGGACAGTTGTTCGAGAAATCAGGTCACTAGATCCATCACGGGGCCATTACTCACAGCATAACAACGTTACTAGAAATCTGATATTCTCTGAGGCATATGTGGCAGCCTTTTGTAGAATGAGTCAATTCTCATTCTTGTTGACACGAGGTACCCAAACAGCTATTTTCCAAGGCGATGCAGCCCAGACAAAGCACGGGCCATAGCTTTTAAATGTGAAAAAATAAAGCTGCTACAGAAATTCATCGTCAGCTTGTGGAAGTTTCTAGACAGAATGTTCTCTATTGTAAAACGTAGTCGACATGTTAGAGTAAAGCTGGGTGAGTCTGTCCCAGGACCATGTGTCTGGACGTGGTTCATTTGACCCAAAGTTGCAATAATCCTAGCTCTTCCTGCCTACGTCTTTGCCACATACCCCTTCCTCGCGGCCTGCTGTACCGGTCACCTCATCAATCCCTTCCTTGCCTTGGCCGTCCTGTCGCCCTCTAGCTGTCAGCCCTGAGGGTGGGCGGGCAAAGCTAAGTCCAAGTTCAAACCTAGCTGGCACCAGCCTCAGTGAATGCTCAAGGCAGTTGGGGGCGACACCTTATTTGCTTACTGTTTCTAAACATTCTTCGTCTTTACCTGCCCGGAGTCCTCTTTTTATGCGGCTGCTTCTACCGTAACAGGCACGTACCTTCTGCTTCAGCTGCAGCACCGTCTGCTTCATCTGGTGAAACTCAGTGCACGTAGCACAGCAGGTTTTGGCCTCCACCGCGTTCTCAGACTTCTCGTTGTGTCCTGTGGGAGGAGGCGGGCTCAGGTCGGCTTGGGAGGCTGGAGGACACCCAGACCCAGAGAGACAGCATCGCAAAGGGCAGTCCCAGGGGGATCGGCTGGCAGCGGGGGTGTGCGAGGGAGAGAGGCTGGCGATTTTACAGTGCTCAGGTCACTGACCGCACATTCGGGTCAGGGGAGAGACAGAGACACCC